CCCAAGAGCTGATTGTTAAACATTTATTTAGCAGCACATGCCTACACCAGGTTCAGGACCACTGCCCTAACATCATAAGTCTCAGTAGTATATTATCTCCATAGAGAGGGACACTGGACTCTCTTATTTATTCTTATGTGTATCAGTAGGAGTGGGTAATCATCATTAGATTTTTTACTTAATAGTATTTTATTTTTTCCAATTACATGTAAAGACAGTTTTCAACATTCCCTTTTATAGGATTTTGAATTTCAAATTTTTTTCTCCCTCCCTCCCCTCTCCTCTTCCCAAGATGGCAAGCAATCTGATCATCAGATTTTTTAAAACTCAGAAGGATTTCTATCACATTCTGGGGGAAGGGGAGAGAGATAGCAGGTCCTTCCATTAATTTATGTCAGGATGAGAACCTCTTCAGCACCCCTCAAGAAGGGAGTCACCAGTCTCCATCACTCATTTCTTCTTCCCCTACCATTACTGCACAAGCTGCCACCTCATGGCACCTCGGCACTCATATCACCCTTCTGTGGAACACCAGAAGCCGCCTTCCACTGAGAGGGTCCATTGGCCCCCCTCATTACTTGGTTCCCACTGTTCAATGGTCCTTCTTGCTTTCATTTTCTGTGTCAGCCTCTTTTTTTGGGGGTGGGGAGCTAGGTAAGGGGGTTAAGTGACTTGCCCAGGGTCACTTAATGTAAATGTCATGTATCTGAGATTGGATTAGAACCCAGGTTCTCCTGACTCCAGGGCTGGTGCTCTATTCACTGCACCACCTAGCTGCCTCAAATGTGTCAGCTTCTTCTGATCTCCCCACACCGGACTGGACCACAGCTAGAGATCAGCAAGGGACAGTGGAGGTCTCTTAATTTTCTAGATGATGAAACCAGAGTCTACAGAGGTTAAGCAAGCCTGCCCAAGGTCCAAAGATAATGAGTGGCAAAGCTGAGATTCCAAACCAGATCCTCCAGCTGCATACCCCATGATAGGATTCTTAAATGTCTTACATTTGTTAGGGTGGAGTGTTCCCCTTTGTTTTCCTTTTGAATCACTTCTTTCATTTTTTGAAGGAATACTGCATTCTTCATAACCTGGAGAGTAAAAAATGATATTCTTCTGACTATTTCTCCCATTTTAGGAGGCACACCAACCTCTCTCTTTTGATTTCATGGTTATCGATGGGCACCAGCAGAACTGCAAGCGCAGCATCTTCTTTTGAGGTCACTGAGTCATCTCCCTCACCACGCTCATCACAGACAAGATCATCAGTCCTACGCTGTTTGCGTTGACTGCTCTTGTGGTTAATTTCTCATGGTTAAGTGATGGGGCAAGCTGCCTGTGCACCAAGCTACGAGCCCAAGAATGAGGTTTTATTTATAGCTTTTTCTCAGGAGATGATGTTAGCTTGCACCATAGACTCTGGAGATTAGAAGTTTCCTGGCAAAGCCCTAATGCGGGCACAAACTACTACTCACAGTTGTTTGTGGGAGGATCTCAATGAAGGTCAAATCACCAGCCATTTCAAATCTCTTTCTACCTCTTCTATCCTCTTCTCCTGATCAGACTTTAGAAATTGCCTCGCTGTTTCTCTATTGCTGGGACGTCTATTTGTTTATTAATTATAATTCATTTATTAGCTAGATTGTTGCCTTAATAGCAGAGGCAAAACTATAATCCTCAGGTTCCTGATGTATAAAATGAGAAGTGTAGGCTAGATAATCTTAAAGTTCCATTTTAGCTTTAACATTTTATGATTATAAAGAAAAGAAAAACATTTTAAAAAAGGTTCATTGAGATAGATTTATTTTTTAATGCAGAGAAGTAAGGTCAGAAGGAAGCAAAGATAAGCAGGACAGCTTTGAAAGCTATAAGTTGGGCTTATCATATATTTAAAAAGAAAAGCATGTAATGCATAATAGAGATTGAAGTTTTACTTACAATTCACTTTTTCTATGTATATGGAAATACCCATTTTATTTGGGTTTTTTTTTTGGGTTAAGAATAAAAATAAATTTAAAAAATTATAAACAAAGAAAGGAAATCCTAAAGAAAGTTGTACTAGGGATCAGTGTCTTACCTATTCTAGACATTGTGGACTGGTTCCCCAAATTAGGTATCTAAGGACATCGTAGCCAACACAGCCTGAAAGGGTTGATGCGAATAACATCAAATGAGAAAATATTTGTAAAAGCTCTTAGCACAGGGTCCAGCACATAGTAGGTGCTTCACACTAATTTTCTTCCTTTCCTTCCTTTCTTGTATCATGGTATGGTGAAAAGAACACTGGATTTTTGGTCAAGACCTTTCAAAACTCACAAGTTCAGAGACTCTACTCACTTCACCAAGAACAGGGAAAAAAAAAAACAGAGGCCAAGGCCTGAAACCTATTTTCTTTTGGGGGAGGGCACACAGCCTCAAGGATTAAGGTCACAAGGCCTCTTCTCTTAGAACATGGTTTCTTCCCAGATGCCGTGAACAGAGTCAACAAGATGCTGTAGACATTGATGAGGCAAAGAAAAAGACTGAACCTAGCAGGCCTTTTTGAAAGCCCTTGATGCAACTGTGCATACACTTCAATCCAGCAATACCACTACTATATCTGTATCCTAAAGAGATTTTTAAAATTATTATTTTTTATTTGTACAAAAATATTTAAAGCAGCTTTTTTTGTGCTAGTTAAGAATTGGAAATTGAGAGGATGCCCATCTATTGGGGAATGGCTGAACAAGTTGTGGTATATGAATGTAATAGACTATTATTGTGCTACAAGAAATGACGAGCAGGATGGTTTCAGAAAAACCCGGAAAGACTTACATGAACTAATACAGAATGAAGGGAGTAGAACCAGGAAAACATTGCATAATAGCAATACTGTATGATGACAAGACAATCCCAAAGGACTCATGATGAAAAATGCTATTCACCTAAAGAGAAAGAACTATAGTTCTTGAATACAAACCAAAGCATATTATTTTTCTCTTTTTTCCCTTCCTTTCTTTCTTTTTTTATTTGAGTTTTCTTCCACAAAATGACTAATATGGAAATGTTTTACATGATTGCACATGTATAACCTATATTGGATTGTTTATCATCTCAAGGAGGGGGAGGGGAGGGAAGAAAAGATAGATTTTAGAACCCAAAACTTAAAAAAACTAGCAAATTTTAAAAACTGTTTTTACATGTAATTGGGGGGAAATATTATTTAAAAAAAAAAGAAAGAGGGTCAAAAGAGAGAATAGAATAAATGGGGGGTGGGATAGGATGAAGGGAAATACAGTTAGTTTTTCACAACATGACTACTATGGAAGTGTTTTGCATGACTACACCAGCATACCAGTTGCTTGCTATCTCAATGAGGATAGGTAGGGAGGGAGGAAGGGAGAGAATTTGGAACCCAAAGCTTTAAAAGCAAAAGTTAAAAACTGTTTTTACATGCAACTGGGAAATAAGATATACAGGCAATGAGGTGTACAAATCCATCCTGCCCTATAGGAAAATAGAAGGGTCAGGGGATAAGACAAGGGGGATGTGATAGAAGGGAGGGCAGATTAGGGGAAGGGGTATTCAAAATGCATTCCCTCTTGGGGTGAGGGGAGGGGGGAGATGGGGAGAAAATATGGAACTCAAAATCTTGTGGAAATGAATATTGAAAACTAAAAATAAATAAATTAATTTAAAAAGAAAGAAAGAAAGAAACCCTCTGAAGCCAGAAGTCTCTTCTTGGCCATGTCTAGCTGGCTGGAACCAGTTATAGAAAATCTACAGATACTCTGCTGTCTCTCCAAGGCACTTCTCTTAGACATCACCACAAATGGGAGCTTCCCACTTCCTTCACAGGGAAAATTGCACCTATGGAGCAAGCTAATAGGGTCTGTGCATGTACCAGATTTGGGTTACATAAGGATAAACCTTCTACTAGAGAAGCAGGGGGCTTGTTGGATTTGTAGGTCAGTTTGATTCTGAGTTCAAATTGACATTGATTAGCTGTGGGACCCTGGGCAAATTACTTTAACTTCTTGGACTTTTTGTCTCTATATCACACGTAAATGGACACAATACCTCAACTCTCTACGTCATAGGGTTGCTGGGAAGAAAAAAATACACAAATGTGTGATATTAGACTTTCATGCCTCACTAAGTATTATTCTTCATGCCTCAGTAAGCATATTCTTTCCATGTTTAGTCTTCCCTTGAGACCCAAGACCTAACAATATTTAAAGGTCATTCATTATTCTAAGCAATAATTATCAACTTATGATAATCCTCTGTATTGCTGAAATGTAAGAGTCTGGGATGAGTCTTTAAAGTGCCATGAAACTTGATTTAGGTAATAAATATCTGTTATGAGCCTGTCTTGTGATTTTCTCCTTTCTATTAAGGGCTGAGAACTAAAAAGAAATCTAATTAATTGAGGATTTTACAGTGGGGAAGATGGAAGTGAGTGGAGGCAAAGATGGGACGAATAAGGCAGAAGACATGGTATAAATCTGACTGGACAGTATACAGGTCACAGAATAGGAGAGGAAGATGACCAGAGACTGTGGAGATGGGAGAAGGGTATGAGTCACACATGGGAAATGCCAGTGCCAAGTAGACTGTGTACTCTGTTGGAGCCAAATGAGACGTGACAGGGGGCAGGAAATGTTCCTGTAAGATGTAAGGAGGTGGGGGGCGGGGGAAGGAAGGGTTCTTGGTGATGTAACTCCTATGTGGAGCAAGTACAGATATTTTGTAACTGGTTCTGGTCTAGAGGAGCCTTTTTGGTGAGCTATGGAGCTGAAACCGGGTTGCATTCAAAAGGCACTAACTAAGCAGCCAAAGTGAGTGTCTTACTTTCGGTCTGGCTTCTCCCCCACCACTAGCCTATCTGACATTCAAGGAGGCTGACCTGCTGAGGGGCTCCATTTGGGAAGGAGCCTTGGATCATCTCTCACTCAGAGGTCAAGAGCACATGATCTTATTGCTGCTTCTGTCTCTATTGTGAATATTCCTTCTTCTTTTTTTAGGCAAAGGAACTTGGCCATGACCTCATAAACTTCAACAGGTCAGATGGGCAAACCACGGGAAGTCTGGGGGCTGGAGTCCATGCTGAGGTTTGCCAAAAGCCAGAGGGTGAAGAACAAAAATACACTACATTACGTGACCTCCTTGCCCCAGGCCGCCAGTAGCAGAAATGTGCACTGACCTGCCCATCAGCAACGCCACACTTGGAAATGGATTTGATGGGGGCAAATGTTAAGGTGCAGGCTGCATTATATCTGAGGCAACTCTCCCTATGGACTGAAGTGGCATAGGGGTGAACGTGCTCCCAGATATGTGCATGCAAAATGTCTGTACTTCTGTTAATGGTTTACCTATAAAGTAAATATCTCTTTGTAAAAGCCAATTGATACTCACTGGTTAAATAGAACCGGGGCACTAATCATGGTGTGTGGGGAAAACATACCACAATTGGGAATCAAACTAATAACATTAGAGAAAGACTTCCCCAGCCCCTTAGGGGCTAGAACCTTAGAAACCTGAGGGGGAATATAGCCAGTTTCACTCTGGAAGAAGAAGTCCAGTGTTGCTACCGAGTGACTGCTGTCAAAAGATTTGAACAAAAAAAATAGTATTTTATAATTTAATTCACTCAGCACAGTGAATATTATCAATAGCCTTTGACGCCTGGATTTTGAGGCTAACCCTCAAATCCATTCAGATGTCACATGCCTGGGATGCTTGCCAGGCAACAAACCATACCTTTTGAATCTTAACATTCCCACACTGTTGACCCATATCTTCAGACTTGAAATGTCTCCCTGACTGCTCGCTACCATATGATAAGCAGCCATTTGTCCAAGAAAGCCTTCCTTCTTGCTCATGCTGCCTTCACTCCTGGAACCATTACCACTGGACATGGCCTTGCCCAGAGCAGGATGTTCTGCCAACTTCTTGACCTACTTCATAAAGAAGTCGTAACCTCAGCCACTGTACTGGCCTGTCCCTGGTCACACCCCAGCAGGAGTTAAGGGGAAGATGAGGGCATGGATTTTGTTACAGCTATTTGTTCAGAGACATCCCCCATATATTGAGAGCTTCATGACTGATTGGGGTTGTCAGAAGTCTTACCTCTAGATTTAGTAGTATTTTTCTTTAATATGATTACAATTATAGTAAGTATACTTCCCTTATTATACTTACTATTATTATACTTTCTTTTGTTATACTTACTATTATTATGTTACTCTTTATTATACTTGCTTATTATATACTTATAGTTTCCTCATCTTTAAAATGAAGAAATTGGACTTAGTAACCTCTAATGTCATTATAGGTGACACAGAGTACCAGGCCTGAAGTCAGGAAGACTCATACTCTTGAGTTCAAATCTGGACTCAGACACTTACTAGGTATGTGACCCTGGGCAAGTCACTTAACGCTATTTGTCTCAGTTTCCTCATCTGTAAAACAAGCTGGAGAAGAAAATGGTAACCCACTCCAGTATCTTTGCCAAGAAAACCCCAAATGGGTCACAAAGAATAGGGCACGATTGAAAAATGACTGAACAATATCATTCTAAGAGGATAGGGACTAGATCTGTGATTTCATTGGTATAGGGAACTCCCAGGTGAGAAAATTCCCTTCACCAATGCAGGTTGGCACCTTGCAACTTGTCTTAGAAAGTTGCGTAGAATACTGAGAAGTTAAGAGACTAGCCCAGCATATATATATATATATATATATATGCACAGCTACTATATGTCAGAGGCGACATTAGAATCCAGGACTTCCTACTTTCAAGGCTACTTCTCTATCCATTATGCAATACTGACTCCTTTACTAATATTAGAATAAAAAGAGCTGATCCATTGGGAAAAGGTCACTTTGCTTGGCAACAGAACCATTCCTCCAATTCCACCTCTCCCCCACCATGGGCCCAACCAGGTTTGGCCCCAGCATCACTGAAGGGCCATTTCCATCAACTAGGGAGTGTGAATATGAGATGCTAGCTTTCCCTCTGCCCCTCCTTCACCCCCTCTCCCCAGCCCCAAACAGGTACTGGAAGCATTTCCCATGCCTCTGTGAATACAAGATTTCCTTGAAGAGGACTTTTTGTTCCTTCACAAGCACTGGATTTGGTAAAAGATCTTAGATATGAAAGTCCTGATCCATACATGTTTGGTTGAGCATGGACCAGTTGGATGGGGATTCTATGTGATCATCCATAGAACATATTCCCTGGGTTATGGAGAAAGGTCCTAAGGCTTGTTCTGCCATCTTCCTGTCATGGGTATATGGCCTGGCTGCTGTAGGTCCAGTTTTGGGGAAACAACACTGAGTGTATCTAGTATAAGGGGTCAGGGGTCAGGATAATGGGTATTTGTCACTTGTCATCTAGCCCACTACACCTAGCTGGCCCCAGACCATCAGACCATCAGACCATCAAGACCATCTCATCCATCCACCTGTCCAGACCATCTTGTTGCCATCAGTCCTGATGTCACCAGTCTATTTTCCATTTATCGATCTGAACAGTAATCAAATCAATACTATCATTGTTTCTATCAATGGATATTAATTGGTTAAATGGACCTCGGATGCTAATCACTGGTAGCTAGCAGCATGGGGATGATACTGGAATAGAGGTTTGATTTGATAGCATTAGAGATATCTGCCCCACTTAGGAAAAAACAATATATACTAAGGGGATTGGTGGCCAGGGAGGAGTGGTTTGGGAAATCTAAGGTCTTTTCCAGGAATGGTGTTGTTGATTGATTAGTGTTCTCAGAGTTAAAGATGGAAATTTGGGCAAAGGAGGTGCCCAGAGACATAGCAGAAGATCCCTAGAATGGTTTCTTTTGTTTCATGGCAGCACAGCGTGGCTCTGGTTCATTGGACTGGCAAGAAAGAGGAGTTAGGTAACCATCGTCTGCACGGTGACTGGGAATGCTCCAACCCTGGCTCCTCCCAGGGGCTCAGTTTGGGGGGCCCTCTGCACAGGCTGACCAAGCCTTTATCTACCTTCTCTGCCCTCTGTCACCCCTGTCACTGTCCCAACAGCCTTCCATCACTGAGGAGCACCCAGAATGGAGCCATCTTTGACACGTTCTTCACTTTCCTTCAAATTAGCCCACTTCCTGGCATGTTAGTATGGGGTTATTAAATGCTTATTATTCATCTCACTGGGCGGTAACACTGAGGGACTACTCATCAATGCAATGTCATTGTTCCTCTCCTACTTTTTCCTGTTCCTGTAGGAGAGGTAGTGGGTCAGAGGAGCCCTTGGATAGGTTTTATTCAGTATGAATAGATTATCTCAAGGGGATTAACCTTCTCAGGGATCAGGTTTAGTTCACAGACCTGCCACCAATAAGGTGGTTAACACCTGTACCTCTACGTTCTGAGGTTACTGATACTTAGAACATGGTCTGAGATTACTGATACTTACAAGGGCAGGGTTTTGTTGGATTTTGATAAGGATAAAAAACTGATGAAGTCAGTTTCCCCTGAATTCTGATGACAATATACAGAGAACATTACATCCCTGAATTCCAAGCAAGAGTTTTAATATGTGTGCTGCCTGCTTCCTCTGCACAACTGGAAACAAGGGAACTTTTGTGTGCCCCCCACCTGTCATCTTCCCCAAGCCCTGCCTGGGCAGTTGGCCCAGAAGCAAGCTGGCCTCCTATGGTATCAGCATGCCCTCTTAGAATTCCACAGAAATGCCTGTGAAGGGGATGGTAAATATCGTGTCATACGTTTGTGCAGTGCTTAGAACTTTACAAAACATTTGGATATCCATTATTCTCTTCTTCTCCTGCTCCTCTGGTTTTGTGTTGCCTTTGTGCTTTGCTTTGGGGTGGATTTGTGATTTCATTGATAGATGGAACCAATGAAGAAACTCCCTTTACTGATACCGGCTGGCATCTGCTCCACAACCAATAGTTTTGGAATGACTTGATGAGGGTCACACTGCCCATATATGTCAGAAGTGGGTCTTGAACTAAGGTCTTTCTGGCTTCAAGATCAGCTCTCTGTCCACTGGGCTATTATCTTTCATTTGTACTGTTGGTAATAAGAAAAGAGAGCAACCTAGCCTCCACACTAGACAAAATAAATGGAGAATGCATATTGCCCATATTATGAGAAGCAGTGGGATGGGCGGCTCATTCAATTAATCCATTAGAACTGAAGAAGGATGATGTGCTGGGCTGGGAATTCAGTAGGAGGAAGAGATGGTGGGATTGCATTCAGGAAACTGTCCACTACTTTCAAAGATCTTAGCCTACTCCTGAGAAAGCTCTGAATATCAGTGGTCTGAATATCAGTGGGTATTCTCCTAGTGAGGCTGTATGACTGTGAATCATGGAATTTTGGCATCTCATCAGAGCCACGACTGTAGGGAGGTAACCCAAAGAGCAGTGAAGAGCTGGATGGTGGGTGGGAGCAGCGTGCTATCAAATGATGACTTGCGCAGGAGAAATGGTGTCATGGACCTGTATGATGAGAGAAGGTGGTGGCCAGGTCATAGAGAGTTAACAGAGAGTCCCAGGGCTGCCTTAGTATCAATAAGATATGAAAAGGACCATGCACAGACCCTGAGGGCACTGGGAAGATGTTCGTCAAAGTCCTGAGTCCCTTGGCTGCAGGGGCTTATGGGATGTGCTTTGGATAGAATTAATCTTGTATCTTCCAGTACTATACCAGACATCATAACCCTGAATAAATAAATGAAACAAATATGGGCCTGAGAGTTGGCCTTGGAGCCAAGAAGACCTAGGTTCAAGTCTGGCTGCTGATCTACCTTGGTCACCTCACCCTGGGTAAGTCCCTCCCCTCTGAGAGCTCTAGCAGAGGTGTCTGACTCTCAGCCCTCTGAGGCAAAACTTCCCAGGGCTTTGAGAAACAGATGAAAATGTAATCAGAAAATATTTAACAAAATAAATAAAAACACAACATGGATCATGTTAGTTTGTGGTTTTCTAGGTTAACCTGCAGCCCACAGAGGTGCGATTGTATTGGAGTTTGCTGCCTATGCCTCAGGCTGCAGATTTGGTACAGACCTGCTCTGGTGAAGAGAGTTTCTCACCAGGAACTCTCTATTCTAGCTGGTCCAGTCTCCATTCAAAGTGTGAGGAGGCCTTCCATTCCAACCCCTCAGCACTTAGGGTTTAGCCCACTCTGTAGTACGTAAGGATGAAGAAGGGAAGAGTGACCTACGGCCAGAGTTTTGGTTTTATTTTGTAAGATCTGAGTTAAGTACCAGGAATACAAATGCAAAAAGCAAAATGGTCCTGCTCCAGGGGCAGCTCGGCAGAGCAATGGATGGAGCACTGGGCCTGGA